GTGAAGCGAACAGTGGTGTTGGACACAGTGACAAGAGTTGCGATGTGTGGGTGCTGATGCACCATAGCCTGTTGAAGCGAGCTTGCATCTAAACTGTGTCTTGGTTTCAATATCTTCGAGCTTTGAGTTGGGCGCTATGCGCCAGTGTGATTCACCATCTGTTTGTATGTGTGTGAAGTGACGAAGTATGCGAGTCTGATTGCGCTGGTATCGGAGCTGGTACCCGCTACTCCACGCACCATCGCCGCCGTTGTAGTAGGAGGGAGACGCGTCGGCGCCATAGCTGAGGTGCGCCACCCCTGAAGAAGAAGTCCGCCATAGCTGCGCTGCGGAAGAGAGTGACGCGTACCTGCACAAAGGACAATGACGAAGAGAGAGAGAGAGAGAGAGAGAGAGAGAGAGAGAGAGAGAGAGAAAGGCTGAGCGATACAAGATTGGTTACCACATACCTGCTGCGTTGAAGATTGGTTGTGCGGTCCAAGAAGAAGCAGCGGCCATAGCCGCAGAGCTCGGAACACGGAAGAGAGAGGGAAGAGAAGCAGGAAGGAGGAAGGAGGGAAAACGAAGGTGAAGACAGACATAGCCGCGGTGTACAAAAAAAAAAAAAAAAAGAGAGAAACGGCGAGAAAGAAGAGGGTGAAAGGAAGAGAAAGAGGAGGGAGATTAGCGAAGAAGAAGGTGCCGGCAGCCATAGCCGACTTGAGGGTTGACCGGAGCGTTGACCGGGGTTTGACCACGTCGACCAAGCGTTGACCAAGGCGTTGACCGGAGCTGCCGACCACGATTTTGACCAAGCTGGAGTTGGTATAATCTTGTTGAGCCCTCAGCCTATCCCCTCGCGCTATGGATGTGCACTCACCCTACGGTACTTGCTGAGTCTGAGTCTGTTTGTCTCTTCTTTCTGCATCGAGTCTCTTTTGTCCAGGAGATAGGACTCCGTGTATGAAGGATAGGGCCTCGTTGACCAAACCCCTGCCGGCTTAGTAGGGCTAAAGACTGTGTCTGACGACTTGTCTGTCCCGGAGGCCTAACCCTCCCAAGGACCGGTATTGACCGGCGGGCTGTTCGGTGTGGCACGGTAGGCCCGAAATCTGAGCTGTGGGCTGCACAACGGGCCGTCTACGTTTTGAGAGAACCTACTGATCGCGTCATCCTGTCTGCGACATTAAAGAATTCTTGAGGAGTTACAGGGGATCTCCTTAAATGCCTCCTGATCAGCAACAGGTTCTGTAGTGACGACTGTAGTTTAGAGTCTAGGCTAGTGCCCCTAGTTGACAGGGTCTGAACCAGAGTGAAAGCTAGGTGGGTTTGACCGCAGGTGCTGGGCATCTGGGTCTGGATTGCAAGGACTGTGGTTGCGAAAGCTTCCGTCGGCTGTGGTAATCTGGCTGGAACGAAGGGTAAGATTTTGTAGTCCATAAAGAGTCAGTTAGTCAGTTGTCTTGGTAGGTCTACGTGGTGAGGAGTGGGACAACTTTGTCGTGCACCTGAACACCATGGACGACTACCCCATGTACGGCTTGCTCGTGGGGTTCTCCCTTTGGGGGACCCTTTGGCGTTTCATTTTCCCACTAGGATTCTGGAACACGTTTACGTGTAGGGTAGACACGCGTACCGGAAAGAGCACCTCGCCGTATACAGCAGAAGAGGAGGCAAAGGCCGCCACCATCCTCAAAGAGAGAAGGAGGCCAAGAAGAAGGCCCTGGTGGAGGAACAGGCGGCGAAGATGAAGAAGATTGAGGAGGAGATGGCCAAAGAGAAAGAGAGGTTGAAGAAAGAAGAAGAGGAGAAGTTAAAAGCGGTAGAAGAGGAGGAAGAGATAGAAGAAGAACCACTGGAAAGGAGAAGAAGGGAGCAAAGAGGGGAATCCAGTCGAACAAGAGATGACCAACTGGAGAAGAAGATTATAGAGTGGGTTGCGAATTTATCCCTCGGAGAAGAGGAAGAGGCGTTGATTTACGTACCCAAGGAAGAACAGGAGGCGACCGTGAAGGAGTGGGAGGCGGAAGAAGACCCCCTCAAGCGGCATGCCTTGGAGGATGAGACGAGGATGGAGTGGAAGCTACGGCTCATGAGGGAGAGAAAAAGGAGAATGGAAGCAGTGAGTCAGGCAGCCAAAGAGCTGGAGGAGGTAAGGAAGCAGAGAGACCAGATGGCGACACAGGTGGATCTCCTGGGGAAGGTGGAAATCATGGCAAGGAACATCGAGCGCCTGACACAGGCCCAGGAAGAGCAATATCAGTTTATTAGAAGTCAGGACATTGCCCTGCGCTCGATACGGCTGGGATTCAGGGAGTTTGCAAGGGAGTTAGTGATGCAGGTGGGCTCAGAAGTGAAGGCCCGTCTGGAGAGCACGGAGCGTTATTGCACCGGCGCCATAGAGGGCGCCAGGCTGGCCGCACCAAAGGGGGAAGAAGCACGCCCTCGTAGAGAGCCTGTTAAAGTCAAGTTTCGCGATTCCTACAGCTGGAAGGAGGAGGAGAACTTCGACAATTGGGAGGCCAACGTTAAAACGTATGTGCACTTATAGAGTGTAGCTCCCGATGAACATGTCGTGATAGCCATTCACGCTCTTAGGGAGGAAGCAGCAAGCTTCGCCCATTCCCTGTGTCGCGCCGCCAACTGTAATGATGATTTGGTGGTCTACTCCGCGTTCACTCCCCTCGGTGACTTAAGTTGTTGAGAGAACGGTTTGCAGACGTCACCCGTAGTGTCAAAGCTTCGGACAAGCTGCAAACCATCCACTCTCGTCAATGGAGGAGTGCCAGGGCACTCAAGGGTGTTATGGACGAGTTGGTCGTCGTTCCTGACCATGGGGTCACTGAGACCCAACTGGTCAACCTCTTTTACCGCGCTATGCCCGAGCAGTTACGCGGGCACTTCTTTGAAAAAAGCCAGCAACCTACCATGACCTATGATGCACTCAGCAGGGAAGTGGTAGCGTTCGAAGCACGGTCTGCGTCAGTTTCCACTTTCTGGCACAAGGACCTGGATAAGGGCAAAAAGTGGAAGGGTCGCACTATCTCGGGGCAGATCAAGACCAAGGATCGTCTGCTCCTTACGTTAGATGAGGGTAGTGTGGAAGAAGTTCCCTATGACCAGATAGAGTGGGGGCTAGAGGAGGAGGAGGACAGTAGCGCTGGTCAGGGGAGGACGCTGCTGTCGCGGCCGGAGGGAGGCCGCAAGGAAGAGGAGGAGGCCAGGGCCAAGGGGGCCGGGCCTGAGGTGGCCGTTTCCAGGGCGATCAGGGGGTTGGCGGTAGAGGAGGAAACCGCCAAGCGGGAGGAAGGGGTCAAGGTCCCCAGCAAAACCGTTCTGGTAACCGTTCATCTAATAGGGGTAATAGGTCACCCTATAGGAGAGGTGGTTGGCACCCAGGTCTGCCGCAGGGCCAACCTTGGGAGGATTTGGGCCTGGACCAGCACGTCTGGCAGCAGCGTGTGGATCAGGGGCAGTGCGTATTCTGCGGTGACCCTGGCCGCATCATTCGATCTTGTCCAAAGTATAGAGAGGCCCGATGGGCTGCCCAACAGGCAAAAGCCAGCCGCCGGCAGGGGTCGCAACTGCCCCTACCATAAGGCCATGTGGGGAAACAAGCGCGAGCCGGCAAGAAACTCCCACACCACATGAGCCTATGGCAGAGGTTGCAGGCCGGTGCCCAGATAGCTGTCCAGAGACTGCTTGTGTTAGAGTCTCTCTAGGCACCTCCCTCACAGGCGTGGCCGATGAGTTGAAGGAGAGAATGCCCGTCTGGCCAAGATGAAAAAGGAGAGTAAAGAACAGCTAGTTTTAGTAGATGTAGAAGTTTTTAGAAGTAGAGTAGGAGCCCTTATAGATTCAGGGGCTACCCGCAGTTATATTAGCCGTAGAGCGCTGAAGAAGTTGAGGCTAGGGCTGAAAGTCCAGAAGTTAGAAGACCCCATAGTGAGTGTCCTCGCAGACAACCGCACTATGCGTGTTGAGGACTATGTAAAGGGAGTCCAGGCGTATTTCCGCCTAGAGAAAGATGGGAAGGTGGAGAAAGTTTTTCATTCCCTGACCCTCCTCGTACAAGACGACCTTCCTTTTGATATAGTACCTGAACTGGGGAGAGGCATCAGGGGCCACACTCCGAAGATCAACCCGAAGAAGTGCGAATGGGCAAAGACCCAAGTTTTATACTTAGGCCACGTCTTAGACGGAGACAGCATTAAGCCAGAGGATAGCAAAATCGCAGCGATTAGGGATTGGCCTACGCCCTGCACGCTGACAGAGTTACGTTCGTTCTTAGGCCTAGCGAATTACTACAGGAAGTTTGTGAGAAACTTCTCTACCATCGCTGCACCCCTTCGTAGATTGCTGAAGAAAGAAACAATTTGGAAGTGGGATAAGGACTGCATGTCTGCCATGAAGAAGTTGAAGCAGGCGTTGATAGCGTATCCAGTCCTTAAAGTCGTCGATCCGTCCTTACTTTTCGTTGTTACCACTTACGCGAGCCAGTATGGCATAGGTGTTGTACTACAGCAAGACGATGGCAACGGATATAGACCCGTAGAGTTCATGTCTGCTAGGATGCCTTCAGAGAAGGTAGCGACCTACGATAGGGAACTCTATGCTCTCAGGCAAGCACTAGAACACTGGAAGCACTACTTGCTTGGGAGGCACTTCAAAGTCTATTCAGACCACGAGACGTTAAGGTGGCTGAAGACCCAGGCCAAGATGACACCTAAGTTGACCAGGTGGGCCGCCGAGATAGGACCAGTACAACTTTGAGCTCAAGCCAGTCAAAGGGAAGTATAACGTAGTTGCGGATGCTCTGAGTAGGAGAGCCGACTACTTCGGGGCGATAGTTCACTATCTGGATATAAGTAGAGACTTGCAGCAAAAGTAAGAGAGTCATATGCGCAGGACCCTATCTACAGTGACCTTCTTAAGAAAGTGAAGGAGGCCCCAGAGACCGAACCAGACTACCGCACTACTGACGGGTTACTATTTAAGAAGACTAATGTAGTGGACCGACTGTGCATCCCCAACAGGGAAGAGATCCGTAGTTTGATCCTAGGGGAATGTCACGATACAGAGGGACAACTTTGGTTGGCAAAAGACTCTAGCCAACCTAATGCATGCGTATACCTGGCGAGGAATGAAGAATAACTGCATAGAGTATGTTCGCAATTGTAAAGTTTGCCAGAGGAATAAGGCTACTACGCGTGCCCCGCTAGGTCTTCTCAGACCCTTGCCTACTCCTGACCAGCCAGGAGATTTAGTATCCATTGACTTTATGGATGTTGGCGTCAAGAGTAGGCACGGTAAGAGCCAAGTCATGGTCGTAGTTGACAGCTTTAGCAAATATGTTGTTTTTGTTCCTTTGCCTTTTGAGGCACGTACAGAGTTAGTGATTCAAAAGTTTTTTGATCCTTGGGTCAGTGACCACGAGGTTCCATTGTCCATAGTTAGTGATAGAGACACCCGGTTCACTAGTCAGAACTGGCAGGAGTTGATAAGAGTCTATGGCTCCAAGTTGTTAATGTTATCTGGCCGTCATCCCGAGACCAACGGTCAGACTGAACAAATGAATAAGATCCTGCAGCAAGTTCTGCGTATGTACATTAGACCTGATCAAATAAACTGGGATGAGATGCTCCCCAAGGTAGCCAGCGCCTACAACAATAGTGTGCACTCGTCTACCTGTTGCACTCCCAATGAGTTGCACAAGTCCTTTAGACCGCGCAGACCGTTTGAGGGACTTAACCGAGATCAGATTTATAGGCTACCGCCCGGTACTAGGGAGTTTGCGATACAGCATGAGAAAGAACTAGCTACTGTTGTAGAGAACCTCAGGAAGGCCCAGCATAGGATGATAGAGCAAGCCAATGAGCATTGTCGCCCGTCGCAATTTCAAGTAGGCGTCGGTAAAATCACGACTGCATTATGCCCGAGGGTTTAGGGTTCAGGGTTTTAGCAGAAATAAGTGTCATAGCATGCTCATGCATTACACATCAACCCGACAGCTTAATAGCTGAGAGGAACAGAGCTGAGATTGAACACAATATCAGGCAGAGTTAGTATAGGATAGCTTAGGCAGGGGTGAGGGGTGGTACATCCTTCCTCAAGGAAGTAATCAATGTTGCCCGCTCGGGCCTCCCAGCCATAATGGGAGGAGCGTGAGTGAGTCCCTTATGTACTCCATTCTGACTTGCCGAGGGAATAGGAATCAGATTGTTGCTCCCCAGAATGGTAGGAGCCAGAACCGTGAGGTTCTGTTGTTGAAAAAAAAAAAAAAAACAAAAAAAAAAAAAAGTAGGTGACGGTCAAGTCAAAAGAGTTTGCTCCTGAGGAGAACATTTCGCAGAAGTTACTGCCTGCGTATAGAGGACCGTGGCCAGTTCTAGAAGTTAAGGGCGGAGAGGATGGGCCGTCCTATACGGTAGAGATTCCAGCGCACCTCCACACCTACCCTGTATTTCGCGCATCAAAATTATTGCCATGTGTCACAAGTCCACAGTTTCCCTCCAGAAGGTCCATGATCCCTTCGGATATGGATGGAAGATACGACATTGAAGGCATTGTAGGTGAAGATATATTCAGGACAGGAGGTAGAGGTTGTCCTCAGAAATAGTACAAGGTTCGATTCGCATATCAGGAACCGGAAGACGACCACTTGTTTACCAGAACTGAACTTCTAGAAACAGCTCCCGACATAGTCAGGGCCTACGAAAGAGATAGGAAAGGTAAAGGTCCTGCCTTGAACTGAGATATTCTCGGAGGACCTCGAATTTAGGCCGGCGGGAGTGAAACGGTTTTCACCTTTGCAGAGGCGGATGAAGATCCCAGGGTTCGTTTTCCAGACCTCACCTTTACCCGTGTACAGTATCGAGTGACCCCCGAGTGTTTGAACCCGTGACCTGTGTTTCGTGAGTTGTTGTTTGTCTGTCGTAGGACTGTGTAGGCATAGGGATTCGATCTGTAGGTCTGTCGGATAGGAGTCTTAGTGAGTTCTAGAAGTCGTAGTTGTAGCTCCTCCGAAGGGTCAAGGTCGTAGCTGCTACAGTCCTGAAAGGCCAAGTCCACGGTCTTCCGGAAGGTCCGGAAGTGGCCTTTCGAGTTTCCCCTCACGTTTTACACAGAAGGCCAGAGGCAAGTGGGCAAGTGGTGCGTCCAACTTCGCTTAGTCAGCGGTACCCAGTCCCAATCTCACTTTGCACAGTCAACAAGTACCAAGGGGGACTGTGTGCACCATGGGCCCGGTGGAAAGAGGCAGACCAACGAGTTACAGAAGTATAAAT